TGACCACATATTTCTGTCAATTAACTATTCACTTTACTTCCGATTTTGTTGTACGGAAACACATGTTTCTATTTGTGTTTTCTAATCAATTCGAATCTATAATCAGTTTAATGGGATCACCACCGGGTAAACGACTACTAGGTACTTTGGTCATGTTTTTTACCACAAATATTTGAATGTTTCTATTGGGATTAAAATGAGCATAGTTAACTAAACAACTGTTTGTATAAATTCCTGACCTGTCTAATTCTAATTATGAGATTAGTGAATATATAAGACTTTCACTACAAAATATTCCTAAACAAAAGAGCACATGTTTAAATTTATTCCTATACAAATAAAAGATCAGAGTAGGGATCTGTCAATTGCCAAAGATACTTTTATGTTAAAAGTTTGATTAATGAATTATGTAAGATGAAAATATAAGTATTGCTTTTTTTATTTTGCTAATGTAAAATGTAATATTGTGCTGGAATTTTGTCGGAGGTCCTTAGGGGTTTTGTAGTTAAATAGTTTTTTTTCGGCGATAATGGTTAAAGAATATAATGTTTTCAAACTATATGTTCATCACCATCAGTGAATTTTTAGTTAAATGTATGCAAAATATTTACTAAACAGCTATATGATTTAGCGGTTTATGAGCGTTTTCCGCGTACAGCCTCCTGGGGTGTACAAATAAGTTAGTTTTCCTTAGTTATCACGCAAGCATGATCCATGTCTCTGATGTAAGCGACAGTTTACAATTATTTGTCTTTAAAAAATATTAAGGACTATTAATAGTTTATAACAACAAAAGAACATGCATGATATTGAGAATACGGTGTTGCAACGTTCTATTTAATGACCCGTCATAAACAGTTGGTCGCTGCGTAGTAATTGGAAAATTGTTATCAAAAATAATAAAGAATATTTGCCACTGAATTAAAGCATTTACTTATAAATTTTCATTTATGCTTTTTGTTAAAAAAATATTGATAAAGTTATTATTTTGAAGGGTTTTCATACCAGAACTATTTATTACAGACGTACGTATACGCCTAAACCTGATTACCGCGGCAGTATGACGTCACGGAGTAGTGATTTCAACAAAAATCAAGAATTTTTCAGAGAATTATTATCTTTACAAATTGCAGATATTAAATTAAAGAATGAAAATATTTTCATATTGTAAATGTCTGTGATGAGTGATGAGTCAGCTTAGAAAAAATCAAGGTACTATTTTTTGACCTGATTACCGCGGCAGTATGACGTCTCGGAGTAGTGATTTAAACAAAAATCAAGAATTTTTCAGAGAATTATTATCTTTACAAATTGCAGATATGAAATTAAAGAATGAAAATATTTTCATATTGTAAATGTCTGTGATGAGTGATGAGTCAGCTTAGAAAAAATCTAGGTACTATTTTTTGACCTGATTACCGCGGCAGTAAGATTTGACAGACGGTTATTAACATTGGGTCGGCATAGCCTCCCCAAAAATCTGATGCCAACTTGTTTGGCTATATTCTTGCATAATTCTCCATGTTTTTATGAACTTTTGTTTCAATATTCTTGTTTCTTACATGACTGTGACTCACTCCGAAGAAAATAACAAACAGACAGATAGATAAACATTTTCATACAGTTTCCAGCAAGGGAAAACAAATAAATACAGTATATAACAATAGCACACTAAGTAAATTGTCATCTACATAAACTTAAAACAACAATTAATACAAAACTGTCTTCATATAAAATAATTCTATTGTAATTAAGGCAAGAAAAGCATAGCATTTCTGATAATAAATAACACAAATTAAATACATGTATTAACAGTATGATTTTACATATGAAAGGGTTTATTATGGTTTAAATAAGGAATACATGAACATTTACCAAGCTAAAGTTTTATAATAGATTTCCTTTGAATTTAATACTGCCCATTGTTACTTAAAGAAGTTCGTTATCAAAAAGCCAAAATTTAGCAGGAAATAAAAAATAATAGATATAGAAACTGGTCAGACAGGAAAGGAGTGCATGCTGTTCTAACTTAACAAATATAAATAGAAAAAATAAACTTAACTAATCAGTAACAATGAATTCATGCATTAAAAAACTAAATATTTGTCATATTATAATAATGTATTTTTATCAAAATATGAAGTAAAAGTATTGGTGCTCTCATATAGGAATTATAAAAATATGCACAGTTCTACACATTATGTAGTATACAATAATTGTCGTATAAAACTCCATTAAAAATCATTATGACCTCAAATTTGGGCTCAAGATAAAAAAAAAAATTACTTTTGATATAATTGTATCTTGTAAAAACATAAGTATTATCTATTAGTTTTGTATTCGGATTTTAAAATAGGACACTAGAATCTAGACTTGGAAATCATCTCATATGTATATATAAGTGAATAAAATAAAATCAATGGTCAAAGAGATAATTACATCGGAGACAAAACAAACTGCTGACTGACAGGAAAATTGATTATAATGAGCAACTAATGACTCCCCTTGGAGGACAGGATAACAACTCTATCATAATTCAATAAAAATGAAAATGATTAGAAATAATTACTGCAAATATTGCTGATCATAAACTTTTTTATCAGTCATTACCTGTGCCGATTTTTGAAAATGGTATTGCACGGCTGTGCATATATTTTAATGTGATGTCATTTGCTAACTGTGATACTTGAAGAGATTATCTAATTGAAAAGTGTCTTTCTTATTTAATAAATGAACAAACTAGATATAAGCAAACAGAATAAAACTTCCCTTTTGAGTGAATGACCAGATTTTCTCAATGATGTAATAAATTAAGGATAAGCATTTTGATGAAAACGTGGTATTAAATTTAACCATTTCAATTTCCGTGATTTTCTTTTTAAGGAAAATTGCTTGAAGATTGCACATATCTTAGTGATTAAATAAGCAAACATAAAAGAAACAACAACAAAACAAAACAAAAACAAAGCACCATCTATACTGCACTCATTACCTAATTGATATAAAAATCATTGCAAAAACAAGTACACTATTATAAAGCAATCAAATATATACCATCCATCCAGGCACTTACTTTTCAGTTATTGGGCTTTTTTACACCATAAAATTAACTGAATTAAAAAGAGATTAAAGATAAAAAATTATTAAAAATGGTAAAAATCAAAAATAAATTCTTTTAATAGAAATCTAATTGTTAAAAAAAGACACAAAGACAAAAAATAAAAATAAAACATAGAAAATCTAATAACAGTATAACCAATTACATTAATTAACCAATAGAAAAGAATATACTAGAATATTATTTGTCTTTATATACTGTTAAAAAAGTAGAGACATTTATTACATAATTCCTAACAAGTATTCGGAAGAAAATACAGTAATAATATTCAACAAATAAGTACTTAAGGGAAAATGCAGTAATAATATTCAACAAATCAGTACTTAAGGGAAAATGCAGTAATAATATTCAACAAATAACAAGTACTTTGGCGAAAATACAGTAATAATATTTCAAGGTAACAGAATCAATATCAGCCTTATAATGTATTGCTCAAGTCATTACCTCATATTTATTGACTTTAATATTCGGTACACCTGTAATAATAACATATCAATAACCTGGTGCTAATTTTCTTTATGAATTGAAATGAAATGATCTTCTGATGGATTGTACATTTATTACTGATTGTGTAAAGTTATCAGTGGTTTTTCTCACTGAATTGGGAAGATGACTTTGCCTCTTGATTTAGGGAAGAATTATCACAAAAATTGCTTTTTCTTAAGGGAAGTAAAAATGATGTTGCACGTTCTAATTTTTGGGAATACTGCATGATTTTAAAGAAAGTTTTTCGTTGGGAAGAAGCCTTTTATAGGCTCTTGTTATTTGAGGTGAAAAATCACTGGTTATATAGTCAATCTTTATATTAAGAGAGGGATTAATGAAACCCAAAAATGGTTACTTTATTAATACATTTATCTATAAGACAAAGCATATGGTCCAAAACTAATGATATGATGAGTTGTAAGGGATTTCTTCTCAATTTGACCTAACATGGTTTAAATATTTAAAATAAGACAATCATTTTGAAATGGTTTTGTTGAACTTTTTAATTATGAATATTTTTTTGGAGGAGGGGGGGGGGGAGTGTAAATATAGTTTTTTTCTATCCCAAGGAAATGGTGATAATTAATTTACTTTAAAATAGTTTTGGATTAAAAATTATACTAGTAGATTAAATTAAAAATAGTTTTGGATTAAATATACTAGAGATTAAATGTTTCCCATGTGATCATGTGTTAATTACCGTCAATGGCAGAAATGGATTTCATGCAGTAGATAAAACATGAACATAAAATATATATCAACATAGTTACATCACTATTTAACTAATTAATACATTTGATGTAGTTTTGTTTGTTTACCTTGATAATAATAATATATATGTTTAAATACAGATACCCTAAAAACCAAGTTACCTTAACACACTAAATGCATCTTATTTATGGTATGTCCAAGGGGTATATGGGCCTTAGTAAAAGAAAATATATAATTCAATAAGGAAATTACCAGCAAATTAAATAATTGAAATACTACATGTAGATGCAAAATGGTGCATTTTTGCACCAATCTGGAGCCTGTCAGGTCATTAAATCATTGAAGGAAAATAAAGGACAAAAAATGGAGAATACCATTAAAGAATAATTATTTGAACATATTTTTCGCAAAATATTTTGAATAAAGTATAATTCTGTTACATGATGAATAGACTACAAACTAAGAGAGTTGATGTTGGAAGGAAAGAAGCAAAAGCCATGTATTCATAAAGAAACATCAATATAGCGGTTAACCTCCCCCCTCCCCGCCCTTTCCAAAGTCCTTTCCAACTCCCCATCCCTCTTACACCAATTGTCAGTTTGCTGAATGAATAAGGGTAGATCACTGTGTGAAGATTGTGTAGCATGATAACATCAATGTGATGACCCCAAAACCTTTCTCGGAATATAAACAACAATTTGTTTGGCAGCACCTTTACATTAGGTCATATTTGATGGCAACAATAATTGGTGTCACAATAGTTTAGCTAATTATTAATGACTTTAAATACATTCTAAAAAATGCACATGTGATAATGCTTTTAGATTTTGTGAAATCAGAAGTTGTTTTTGAAATAAACACCAAGTGTTGTTGCAACGGCTGTTATAATGGCAACTGTTATAATCACCATCGACCATTTAACACAGAATTTCCGGCGTTCTTTTGCTAACGTTCTCTGTATAAGTCTATCATACACTGGTTTTTCCATTGTCTCTGGTAATTTCTCTATATCTATATTGTCCTTCTGCAATATAAAATAATTTCCTTTTCAAAATTGTTTGGAATATTGTACACCATAGTTTTTTATTAGATCTACATGTAAACATATATGTTTCACAGGATTCAGGAATTGTAACGGTCTTGGGTTAGTGTTCAATCAATTTATTCAGGAGTATAATAATTGATATTTAACTGTAAAATTGGTGAACTCAAACTCATCATTAAAACCCAATTCTACACTGAACAATGCATATGCCTGCAAGTACAATAAATGCTTCAACTGATACTAATGTTATAAAACAGTGCAGACATATAAGTGAGAGGGGACATTTAATGGACCTTTCCGGTGTTTACAGTTTGATGTAAATTGGCTTAAACTTGTTATCCAATTGCTACACTGAGATTATACATCATAAGTCACTGGTTGACCTGGTTTGCACAAAAGAACACATGGTTTTGTTTTATGATACTGTTTGTGAGCAGTTGACCTAGCAATGAAAGGAAAAGGTGTGGCTAAATGTTCTGCTACGAAAAACCGGAAAGGTCTATTTTCATGATTTTATATTTTATTTGACTGATTAAGGCCATCATAATTTTATCCTGTGTTCTTTGGATCATCCATACCATATATGATGTAGTAGGTTTGGTGAAGTAATGCAAAGTAATGCATATATAGTAATGCACCTTCATTACCTGAATTTTGCATTCCAGTACCATTACAAGTAATGCAAATTGGCATGCAGTATCATTACATTGCATTACTCTCAATAAACTAGAACTCCGCGAGTCGGATGTGTCGCCTTGTGAACAATTTAGTTTAGGACAAGAAAATTGACAAAGGGCAATAACTCAAAAAATAAGAAGTGCAGAGCAGCAGTTTTTTAGCACTGCACTTCTTATCAATAAGATATATCACCCTATGAAGTTTCAAGTCCATAGCTTTTATAATTTATGAGAAATGGCCTGGACAAAAATAAAGTATGAAAATTAATAAAGGGTAATAACTCAAGAATAAGAAATGCAGAGTACCGGTTCTTGTACACTGCACTTTTTCTTAATGAGATCTATCATCCTATGAAGTTTCATGTCCATAGCTTTTATACTTTAGGAGAAATGACCTGGACAAAAAAAAAGTATGAAAATTAACAAAGGGGAATAACTCAAAATATAAGAAATGCAGAGTACCGGTTCTTGTGCACTGCACTTCTTCTTAATGAGATCTATCATCCTATGAAGTTTCAAGTCCATAGCTTTTATACTTTCAGAGAAATGGCCTGGACAAAAATAAAGTATGAAAATTAAAAAATGGCAATAACTCAAAACATAAAAAATGCAGAGTACCAGTTTTTGTGCACTGCACTTCTTCTTAATGAGATCTATCATCCTATGAAGTTTCAAGTCCATGGCAGAAATGGCCCGGACAAAAGTAAAGTATGAAAATTAACAAAGGGCAATAACTGAAAAATAAGGAAGTGCAGAGTACCGGTTCTTATGCTTGCACTTCTTCTTAATGAGATCTATCATCCTATGAAGATTCAAGTCCATAGCTTATATAGTTGAAAAGAAATGGCCCAGACAAAATTAAAGTATGAAAATTAACAAAGGGCAATAACTCAAAAATTAAGAAATGCAGAGTACTGGTTCTTGTGCACTGCACTTCAGGTTATTGAAAGAAGCATGCATACCAAGTTTGAAGTCAATCAGACTTATAGTGACTGAGATATGCTCCGGACAAGCTTTAGGGGACGCCGACAACGACGCCAACAACGCCAACAAAAGTAACCCCTATCAAACTCCTCGCAGCGGTTACTTCCCCTGATCTGTACAGTAACTAGATTTCAAGAAAGCTTCTAAAACTGGGAAATCATTTATATGCCAAAAAGGTATATTTGCCTTTGTAATCAAACTCAAGTCAATGAATAGTTATAATATCAAAAGTGACAACGCATAAGCAAATTGTCAACAGACAGACAAATAAATAATGCCATATACCATGATTACAAAAAAATACTTTCAGATTGATGTAAACACACACAAAAATGAGGAAAAAATGTATATATGTTGCAATTTATAATGAATTTTTTTAATTTTGTCTGCCTAAGTATTGTTGTACCTTGATTCCATGTGCCTTTAATATGAGATACTGCTCCAGGTAAGATGGACCATTCAAGCTGCCTCTCTGCAAATAAAGTTAATTTATGAATGGAAAACACTTATATCTTTCAGTAAATATTCTTGCATAAAACCTGTGTACACAGGTATGCACTAAACATACATTAATGAATAAAATCATGTGAGCATGTGCAGTTGTTGCACATTAATTTTTTAATATGCATGACTAAGGGTCAGCCAAGTGAAAGTAGCTTACTCAGCAGCAATGACGGCCCTCAAGCAGTTTCATTAACAAATGTAATTGTTAAATGAAATTGCACTAGCATGACAAAGTCAAACGAAAAACAGAAAACGAAATGCAGATTTATGCAAGAATAGTGCTTATGCACCTGTGTTTTTTGCATTAACATCTACAGAAGCCCTTGGACTAATTCAATCCTTTATCCTATGGGCTTGCCAGGCTTCAAATGCATCATCATGCTTCTGCAGATGTTAATGCATGCATGAAAACAGGACCTGGTGCACTAACCCTTTATTGTTGTTTAAAACTCAGAATGCCTTCTAATGAGTAAACACATTTTCAACATCAAAATCAATCAAGTGTCTACAATGATAATCAAAGTGATGCTATAGCTATATATTATTATATTAATAACTATATATCTCAAATTGAAATAAATATCTTTATCACAATATTTCAACCCATTAAGGTCTATATGTATGTATGCACTCACAGTTCTTTCTATTGTTAAATTACCATAATTTGTACACTTGAGAAAACTGTTACTTATCAAAGCAATTTCCAAATTTTCATATCAATTAATTAATCAAATAATTAAATAATTAATTAAATTTAAAACTTTATTTATTTATTTATATAGAGACAATTATGCTATTTATTATAGAAAAAAATGATGAAAGCTTTTATTACTTTTGAGTCAAATTGTTGGACTTACAATATATCATAATAACTACTGGCAAATGAGGCCCAATGTATGATTTAAACATTTAAGACATTTCAGTTTGGCAATGAAACAAATTCATCAGGAATAAATCTGAAATATTAATAAATTTGTATACCTGTTCTTTTGATAGCCTTAAAGCATTTTTCAGTGTTAACTGGTAGGTGAGTTTTTCATTGTCTGTTTCTACCCCGTCTTCTTCTAAGTTATCATCTGGCTGATATAGAGGATTCATCTTTGCAACTGCATTATCACTCATGATTTTACCTCTATACAACTCCCGTAAGTTTATTTGACCAAATTTTTCCTTTTTATACTTGTTACTTTTATTTTCATTAAACACAGTGTCTTCAGAAAACTTTACACATTTTAACTCATGGATTTCTAAATCTGAATTTTGTCTTCTGTGTTCATTTTCCAGGGGACAAGACGAATTGTGTGAGCTGCCATTACTCAAAATGGATTTCAAAGTTCTAGTGGATGACCCAACTTCACTCACAACACAGGATTTTGAGCAAGAGTTTGATTTCTTTTCATTCTTTTTATACAGCGACGATCCATCTGAATTCTGGCCACTACAAGGGTCACCTTGATTATTGACAGAACTTTTGTTCCTATCTTTATCTTGTAATATAACATCTGATATTGATCGAACATGTCCTGGACTGTCAACTTTATTTCCATCATTTTGAGCAATTTCATCTGTTGACTGATATAAAATACCGTCATCAGGTTTTCTAGCTAGCACATCGATATCAGGCCAGTCAGAGTCACCAGTTTGGGACAACACTTCAGATTGAATTTTATCAGTATCAAAACTGTGACACATATTGTCATTCTCTGAATATTTTTCTCTATAATGCATTATTGGTGTTTCATTAACGGCAGAATTATGCACAAGAACTTCTGTCACAATTTCTGTAGGACATATCTGTGGGGATTCACAGGGGTTTGGTAGATCTTCGCTAGTGTTCACAGATAAATCCCGAGGACTACACAAGCCTTCTGAAATGGGCGTGTTCAAGTCACAGAGGTCTGATATTTCTTGATATGTGGATTCTGGTAGATCACTAATTATTATAGTTTCTGTTTGTGAATTTTGCTGTGAATGAGCCACTGTTGGTTGCTCTTTTTTCACACAATTTGAGTTTTCACAGTTAACCTTGGAATTTTCTAGATGTACACACTTGGTCTCCTCATGATTAATCACATCTGAACAATTTGTATGGATTTCATTGATTGATTGCTTTTTTGGATTTTCAACCTCAGTTGGTTTAGTTTCAATAATTATATGTGTTTCATCTAATACAAATGAACCATTACTATACCCTAATAAACCATAATCTTTAAAATAAGCTTTGGTTTGAACTTCCTGGTCAGTTGTTGAGTGTATACTGTCAGTGTCTGCTGTCACATGTATTTTTGTGTCTGTTTGCTGATTATCATGACCGTTAACTAATTCACTGGATGCCTTATTTGAACTTTTACATGATAACTCATTTAAATGATTTAAATTACCATTCCCTTTACATAACTTTTGATTCTTTGTTTCACCAACATGGTTTTCGTTATTCCTATCCTTGTCAATGAATCCCTTACTGTTATCATGCTTTTCTTTATGAAGTAAATTATTATTATCATTTTCTGTCAAGTTTATTCTAAGAGTTTGAATGGCATCACCGTTTTGTATTTTTCCATTCTCAGAGGGAATTTTGTCCTTTCTGGATCTCGGGAATGTCTCATATGTGACAACATGGACTGGACTCATATTTCCATTAATGTCTGAGAACTGATTCACATTGTTTACATCACTGTAAACAGGGTTAATCTTTAAATCTTTCTCTTTTCTCCCTGAAAATCTTCCACCATACACTGCCTGAAAAATATAAAGTTCATCCCTATAGTCAGATGCTTTGACACAAATATATAATAGGGCTTGAATTTAACCCTTGCAAATTCGCAAAATGCAAAACATTAAAACAGCAAAATGCAAGAACTTAAGCAAGAACTTCTATCACAACTTCTGTAGGATTTTTTTTAAATATTAATCATTAATTTTTTGAGAATTTTTATATCACAAAAAAAAGTCATGTGTAGATCCATATTCTATGTACATTGTATTGTATATTGCTGTATTTATGAAGCAACTTATATTAACTGAAAGATTCTGTTTTATATTTCTGTGTTAACGTAATGTTCCTAAATTTAGCGTATAGTAAATGGACGTTGCGTCATTTGTTACTTCATAAACATCAATTTTTTCTGAAAAAGGCAAAATGTCGAAAAAATGTTTTTATTGAACTGATTATAATATTTATTAATAAAAAAAAATAATTATGGAAGTTTATTTTGACTTTTGCAAGTTGATGTTTCCTTCACAAGTGATTTTCATTCTAATGAATGTTTTATATCAGGACATAATACAATAAAATTTTACATTGTCATTGGAATCTGATCAATGTCATGGGGATAAGCATTGCCTCCCACACAAAATGAATTAATCATCTTTTATAAAGCTATTATAAAAGCACTTGCACAGAAAACATTAAACGCTAAACCAACATAAGTGACAAGGACACCTCTGCAGGGGGTCAATTAGATTATCATTCCTTATTCACTTCAAAGTCAGGCTTAAAACATATAAAATAACAATGCAGAAGCTGTTGCAAATCTATAACAGAATTCTATTGTGAGTCTAATCTGTCATACTACACAATTAACCCATTTATTCTAATCAGTTTTCATCTATAATGTATTTTCTTTTTTTTCATTAATGTTGTCATGGTAACAGGAAGGAAATCACTCGCTATTAATGGTTGCTATATGACTTAAAGCCTTGCTTCTAGTGCTTTAATGTATCATTTATCATACGGTCAAAAAGAATTCACAGCAACAACATAGTGATTTGTCTTTGTTTTCACTGAGTTATTACAATATACATGTAGTCTTGTCCTTGATATAAACAAATCATTTCAATATGAACATCATTTATTTTAGCTTCATTGATAATGAGGAAAATTTGTGCCTTATTTGAATTGTTCTCAAGTCCAATTTCTGGAAGAAACCATGCAGTACTAGTGTCGTATGAGAAAGGAAACATGATTGTGACCAAACTCCAAAGGCTCAAACCCATTTATATCTGAGTTTAGATGCATACACCTTTAACCATAATATAGGCCATTCTCACCTTTCTTTGTTTGCTTCATTAATTAAATTCTGTTTAAACTTTTAGCATAAATGCTAAAAGTATATGTATACTGATGAAAATTTAAGATTAAAGGGACTCCACTGAGGATTTTTGACATGGTGGGATGGGAAATAATTTTTCATCCATTGATGTTACTTAGGTCTTGACCAATAATTTATGTGTAGAATTTCAGATAATTCGCTCACTCTGTTTTTTCATATATATCATTCTTATTGTGAAAAATGACCAAAATTTAAAAGCATTGCAACGCTTTTCACTTAAATCAGGCTAAGCATAGCACGAAAATGCAATTTTCTGATTTGTTTCTGAGTATATTTGTAGTTATTTTTGCATACATGTATATTTCTGTAAGAAATTCAAATGTTATAGTTTTAGACTTTTGAACCTCAGTTGAGTTCCTTTAACATACAAATTGTAATATGTGACATACCAAGTCTCCAAATTTTGACGTATCATACATTTTTACTCCTTCACAATAAATAAACTCCATTGAACAGCAATTAAAATATAATTATCTCTAAAATTAATCTCATTGTTTACACATGTATTACATTTATCTATTCTGTGTTTTTATCCCTTAATACTATTAATTCTCTATAAAAATAAAATAGAGTATCAACATTTGTCACTTATCAACACTTTTCCTGCATGGTTAATACTTTCATCTTCTTTAATATTGCCTATTCTTGGCCACACAATAATTATTATTGGTTTATTAGCTTTTTTATACAACTGTTCTGTTTTGTCCATAGAGCATCATACAAAAATACACCACTGAAATATCTGATTGTGAAAAGGAGCATGTCACCACTCATGGGAATAAAATCTTTCTTTTTTATATGTGATCAAGTAATCATAGTTTATTATTATATATAAAAAAAATCTAGTTGTCAGAGATGGAACATTAATTTTTCTGTGCAATCTTTACAAATTATTATTAAAAAACAGTGTTGAGAAGAACAAAACAGTCACCTTGGCTGTTCATGCCTTATTATCATTCATACATTTCTCAACTATACAATATGATTCATTATCATAAAATATAACACATATTTCATAAATGAAATGGACCTATATATCAATATTAATTTGTACAATTTATGTTAAATTGATATAATATTTCATTTAAATCAGCATATCTCCAGATTTTTGTTATTTTTTATGAAAACTTACAAAATTGTTTCAATGATCGAGTACAAAATTTAATGTTATCAAGATTACTACTAACAAAAGTACTAACCTAGTCAACCAAAACCAACAAAAATTGCCTTACAACTTGTTAATATATCCTGAAATTTCTCTCGCTGTGTAACAACAATTAACAACCTCGAATTTTCGGAAATAAAATTAATAAATACCTTCATATTTCACATTCAACATTTCACAAGAATTGTGAATATTTACACATTTCTTAAAATGCAAATGTAATTTTCTGAAAATGTAAATGTAATTTCTTAAGTTTGATATTTTGAAATCTGGAGGCATAATGCTTTACCCAATTTTTAGTAAAATGTCAAAAGAAAATCGATTGATGAAAAGTAGCAAGATTAACTGTGTTAACTGATAATTAAGTAGTGTAGTACAGTACTTGTATTCTATAAATGATAACTGTATTCTATATTTACCTGTTCTACTGGATAATCTAATTCAACAGTTGACCATATTTTTTTTATTTAATCAAAATAAATAAATAGATAATGAAACCTGATATAACTTGCTCAGTTGTGAAATACATCTCTGATTTAAATATTCATCACTGTAAGAATTTGTAACAGAAAAACAAATTATTAAACGCTTATTGCCTAAGTCAAAAACATTTTCTCCATGATCAATAACACCTGATGCATCAGTGTTTTTCCGAGTTTCTCCAACAAACCTCAAATCAATGGAGACATATGACTGCTGATATTGTGGGTTGTAACACAGTTATTTCCTGTATCTACATTTTATATACAGTCATCATCTATAACCCATATGTGTGACCCTTGGAGTAGAGTAGTGAGTAGTTTCCTATTTTTGGACAATGGTACCAGGCAGCGATACCAGACAGTGATGCCCCATACCAGACAGTGATGCACCATACCAGACAGCAATGCACCATACCAGAAAGTGATGCCCCATACCAGACAGTGATGCCCCATACCAGACAGCGATGCCCCATACCAGACAGTGATGCACCATACCAGACAGTGATGCACCATACCAGACAGTGATGCCCCATATCAAACAGTGATGCCACATTCCAGACAGTGTTGCCCTATACCAGACAGTGAAACAAAAGGGCCATCCATCTAGACTAACCAGCTTAAAGTATAATAGCTGCATAGCTCTTAGACAGTGATGCACCATACCAGACAGCAATGCACCATACCAGAAAGTGATGCCCCATACCAGACAGCATTGCCCCATACCAGACAGTCATGCACCATACCAGACAGTGATGCCCCATACCAGATAGTGATCGATGCCCCATACCAGACAGTGATGCCCCATACCAGACAGTGATTCCCCATACCAGACAGCGATGCCACATACCAGGCAGCGATGCCACATACCAGACAGTGATGCCACATACCAGACAGCAATGCACCATACCAGAAAGTGATGCCCCATACCAGACAGCATTGCCCCATACCAGACAGCCATGCACCATACCAGATAGTGATGCCACATACCAGACAGTGATGCCCCATACCAGACAGCAATGCACCATACCAGACAGTGATGCCCCATATCAAACAGTGATGCCACATTCCAGACAGTGTTGCCCTATACCAGACAGTGAAACAAAAGGGCCATCCATCTAGACTAACCAGCTTAAAGTATAATAGCTGGATAGCTCTTAGACAGTGATGCACCATACCAGACAGTGATGCCCCATACCAGACAGCAATGCACCATACCAGACAGCATTGCCCCATACCAGACAGTCATGCACCATACCAGACAGTGATGCCCCATACCAGATAGTGATCGATGCCACATACCAGACAGTGATGCCCCATACCAGACAGTGATTCCCCATACCAAACAGTGATGCCACATACCAGGCAGCGATGCCACATACCAGACAGTGATGCCACATACCAGACAGCAATGCACCATACCAGACAGTGATGCCCCATACCAGACAGCATTGCCCCATACCAGACAGTCATGCACCATACCAGATAGTGAGTGATGCCACATACCAGACAGTGATGCCACATACCAGACAGTGATGCCCCATACCAGACAGTGATGCCCCATACCAGTAAGTGATGCCCCATACCAGGCAGCGATGCCACATACCAGACAGTGATGCCACATACCAGACAGCAATGCACCATACCAGAAAGTGATGCCCCATACCAGACAGCATTGCCCCATACCAGACAGTCATGCACCATACCAGATAGTGATGCCACATACCAGACAGTGATGCCACATACCAGACAGTGATGCCCCATACCAGACAGTGATGCCCCATACCAGATAGTGATGCCCCATACCAGATAGTGATGACACATACCAGACAGTGATGCCCCATACCAGATAGTGATGCCACATACCAGGCAGCGATGCCACATACCAGACAGTGATGACACATACCAGACAGTGATGACACATACCAGACAGTGATGACACATACCAGACAGCAATGCACCATACCAGACAGTGATGCCACA